GATGAACTGGTGGTTGTACGGCGTAAGTTGGCCTGGTGCTGCAACTCGATTAGTTAGCAGCTGAAATAAAGTAAGGGTTGTTTTATTCTGCTGAAATGCAGAACTTGTGTGTGTTTAGTGTTGTTTTATCTTCAATCGGGCTTATATAATTTTAAACGTCTGGTTGTTTAACGCAGTTAAACAACCGGCAAACTACATGAAAAGCACAATACCAATTATTGCAATACAACTTTTTTTGTTTTTCGGAGAATGGCCATAATTCCTGATTGTGGCATACTAGTATCCTTTTTGAATCCTGAAGTGCCCTGACTACTGCTCATCATACAGTATACTAGTATGCTACTGTACCAATAGTATACCTCTATAAAGTGGTGTGCCAATTGTTGACGTACTGTATTATTTTAACCTTCGGTGTTGTATGGCTATGAGTATACATATTCAGAGGTTTGCTCTGTGATTGGTGCTTTTCCAATAAGCTTATAGAGTACCTAACTAGCAAATAATATGAATCACTTTTGAATTGACTGTGAGCGTTGTCAAAACTAGAGAGTTTTAGTAGTCAAGCTTTCGAATTTGCACTTATCGCGTGAATACCATGCAGTTGACCACAATTTGACGTCACGAATCTCAAATTACCCGGAGATACATAGGACCACCGCACCCCCTAAGTATCATGATGCGTTCGTCGCCATGTTGAATGGCTATGGCGTTTGACAAGAGTAAGTTGGGCTGGCACAGCTACATACATGCAGGCCTCGTTTGAAGTTGGAACGATCAAGTGGAGTTGTGCCGGAGTAGGAAGACTTGTGTCACGATGTGGCCATTCTTGTTGGCAACGATTCGTATGTGCGTAAGGGGATGGTTCTGTACCATCATCACGCACCCAATCACGTCTGGAACACAGTGCCTTGGTTCTATGATGCGTTGGCCGAAACCAACGTTCGTCGCGGAGCGCAACTCGTCGTTACGACTTCTGTGAACCTACCGTGGGCCAAGCCTGCCATCTACATGATCATGAGATGGTACATGGCGTTGTGGTAAGCCAACGTGGTTGCTGACGCGACAGAATCGCCACGTCATCTCAGTTGTCGAGTTTTGCTGATTGTCAACGAACAAATTCCGGATACGGGGCTGGTGGTCTCGTAATTATCCGTATCGGAGTCATCTTCAAAACGTCCAAAATTCCGGATACGGTCCGTATCGGAGTCATTTTCAAAAAGTCCAGAAAGGCGCGCGACACAGAGATGAACTGGATGGTGAGTGCCAAGAAGCGCGTGCTCCAGAGCAAGACAGGGAGGCGGAACCAGCGACAGCTTCAGGGTGCAAGCAGGCCGTGGATCACGGCAAGTGCTCTTAAAGAACCTCTCGCTCCTACCAGAGGTGTCAGTGTCGTTCACGACGACAAGGCGTCGTCGACAACGCAAGGGTCATTGGGAAACACAGTCGTGCGGCCAACCATTCCAACGTACTTTAAGCAGTTTGAGCGCAACACCACTGGAAAGGATGCAACAGGTCCACCTGAGGCAGTTGCAGCAGCTTCACACGGGGACGATCAGCGAGACAATGACCCACCTCGTTGCATTTTCACGCCTGACCAATTACGACTCTTCAAGTACGTTTCACAACATTACGTCTGTAGTAACCTTTCTATGTAGTGATGGGAAAGAAGTGAATGAAGAAGGTGCAGGAAAGACATACACGAAGGCATATTGACATGTCGTGTAGGGAAACACATTAAAAGTAGCTCTGAGCAGCATCTGAACCACTACAGATCCTCACCTGATGGTATTTCAACTGCAATACCTTTGTTCACAACTCCAGTAGATGTGGATCAGCTTCACTACGACGACCGAGTTGACCAAAAAAAGACAGCCAAGAAAGGCCCGTTCAATTTTTTCGACCACATCTATCCATGTCGAACTGTTGCCGGAAATGCAACCGCATTGAACGCAGCGGTTCTCAACGAACTGCCATCTCCCGAAATGAGTTCGGAGATGTCGGAGGCTTCTATTAAATCGTCTGTTTCCCTTCCTGACAGTCCTGCACGACACGGTGGTTCATCGATGGATTATACTCAATTAACCGCAGACGAACCACCGTTGCATACCGTCGCATCAAAAAGTCCAGCTCGAGTAGCCCTCTTTTTCTCGCCTCACGGTAAATGCATTGTGTACTCTTCGACATCTAATGCCAAATCAGATCGCCAAGTATCCCCATTATCGTCCGATGGGAGTATTGAGCACTTGGTGTCGAAGTCGAGATCGTCACCTCCGTGGAAAAGTACCCACAGGACCTTGAAGAGAGCACTCATGCCCTCAATGCAAAACTCGCCCAAGAAAGTGAAATACGCACAATGCTTACCCTTGAATGCATTTTACCCTCCATCCTTCAACGCACCACGAGTTTCTACCAGAGGTACATACTTCATGATGTTTTGAGGAACATTCATTGTACTATAACCATCTTGGGTAGGTGCTTGTGGTGTACCTGTTGATCCGCGTAATCACTATATACGATGACAACTCTAACGTAATTCATAAGTTGTAGCGATGAAGTCGCACAATGCACGGTCAGTCAGTTCGTCAAGCTCAAGCACAAACAGTTGCGAAAGTCTGGTGTCCAAGGCACACATCGAGATAACTAGAGATCAGCAATCCACGGCTCGGAAAATATTCGCCCCCAAGCGAGATGTGCTATCGCCACCACCAAGCGACCCCTTTTCTGGCCGAGGAACCAGCGTCTCCAACCATCCTGCGCTTGCCTTTGGCGCCGGTGGGTCGGACTGCAAATCCAGCTCAGGTATGCTGTCAGAACTGTCAGAGTTTAAGCACCACGTATCCAGCAAAACCAGGGTCCTTCAATTGGAAACGACAAACACCAGTCACAAGTACGCATTCGGGCCATTATGAATGGGTTTTTTTCGCATTGTAATGCCTGCGTCGTAGCAACTACTCCATCGGGAAGTCACTGCTCCATGCCCGTCGCCGACGTCCAGCCTCCACAACGAGAAATGACCTGGAGCTACGAATTGCCCCAATGTCAACAATTTTCTGCAGAGACTAGCACAAGCCATGTCAACATTGAACGATCATCCCAATGCCCAGGTACTGTATTGAATGTGCTAATGTTTTGAATAGATTAAGACCGCGTCGTAGTGACCCCGTCGAATCGAAGCCTCGGGACACGGCGTTCAACGCCTTCCATAAGCAGTAACCCACAAACTGCATCGAGCTATGACTTGCCACCACCCCATGGACCTGAGTTTGACGTGCCAAGATGCAACACACCGGCAAAAACTGAAATCGGCATCCGAATCACCAAAGCTGCGTACATGGTGACCCCAACCACTCCCAATCCCGATTTGTCGTCCGAAAATGGCCGTACACCCCATGAAGACTCAAAGCTGTGTCCGAGAAAGTTGTCGATTGGTGACACTGCGACCCAAACACCTCCCGCTGCAACGCACCGAGGGCAATCAAAGATCGACATGCTCCAGTCAGAAGGGTCTGAGCATTCATCCCACCTTTTCAACGCTAACAAGACCCCAAGCCCACTAATCCCCCAATCACGAATCCGCCTACTCAACACGGAACAAGACGTCTATGCGGACAGTGCTTACGGCGATATAACTGTGCAGCTGAAGGCAATGCCTCACTTTCTGCCAAGGCACTCTGATGCACCCAGTGGACATATCTTGGCCGCTTCTCCAGTGAACGTTGCTTTTAATGGAACTGAAAGATCACGACCAATCAACTCAAGTCAAGGCCATACCCAGAGCAACCAAGAAGCGCAACAAGGTGGGATTCCCACGAATTCACCAGAGGAACAAGAGACCGTGGCCCCTATTAGCCAAACACAGATCCTGACGCAAGCACTTCTTTCCCGCCACGACGAGTACCACAACAACATCCTATACAACCATCCCCATTTTCGACAAGGTTTGGCGTTTTTTTAGTTCCATATTTTGATCTTGAATTTTTACGTGAAGATATTCCTAATAAATCATACTTACCTCTAATTATATGATATTTTACACCTGGTAAATCTTGAACTCGACCACCGCGTATTAAAACAATTGAATGTTCTTGTAAATTATGGCCTATTCCTGGTATATAACAAATAACCGAATAATTATTTGTTAATTTTACTTTAGCTACTTTTCTTAAAGCTGAATTAGGTTTTTTAGGAGTTTTTAGTCACATGATACAATCTCGGTTGATTTTCACTCATAGACACAGTCGCACAGCTGAGTGTCCACCAAACGAAGGACAACATTGCTTCGGAAGTGGCCCACGATACTTGCAAACTAACCACATCACTCGAAATCACCTGCCAAGAACCAGGTCCAATGCCCAGTGCGCTTCTTCCAACGACGTGCATAACTGTGACTTCGCCAGTTTATGAAAAGTCTGGTGGATGTTCCACCGTGGCAGCAGTGCTGGCAAATGCGGGATCGACCCTGACTCCAAGTACTCACCCGAATTCCGCTGCCGACGGTGCCGCGGCCACAAGCCTCGACGTCACTAAACCGTTTCGTTCGCAGTTCTTGCATGGTACGTTGCGGCGACGCTTATGCTACGCCCTGAACGTTTTGTATATTGTAGGCCCATGGAAGATGCAAAACAGAACACGTCGCATCCTGGATATGGCGTTCTCATCGTTGGTGGTAGCTCGAAAATCGTTTGTCGACCATGCCGATAAACCCGACGACAACTACGAGTCTCTCTCCACCATATTGTGGACGATGGTGCAATGCCACGAATTGGGCTAAGCGTCACCAACGGCAACGAATGTTCCAAACTACGATTGACTAACCTCGCATTACATTTTCAATGTGTCGTTCTCGTTGGAAGGTCCTGCATTGCTGTAGCCAATGTCCACATGCAGTATGCCTGCGCTTTCTGCTGTGCATGGAATCGTTGAAACCCAGGCTCAACACGTAAACCACACGACTGCATTCACCGTCAACATGGCCAAGTCTCCGAGTTACTGCGACGCTAACGTTAGCAAACATTGCTCTAAAGAAATGGCAATCGTTTGAATATGGACAAGCCCTCTTTGGTACAGAAGTGCGCCGACCATGTCAAACGTCCCTTGTCCATAGCAACGTATAAAGGTATGAAGAAGTACGTACAAACACTATGTATGATATCATACTCTCCATTTTTGATTACTGGAATATCTGCTTCATTTTCGCCTGCGCCGTGCTGTATTTGGGTCCGACCCAATACAATTGACGACAGCTTTGGCACTCGTAGAACTCTTGGACTGTGTCAGTTACTTTCTGCGGCGGCACGTCCGCCCTCTCGACCACTTGCGCCACATCCACGATGTTGAACCCCTTTTGATTGCACTTGGCGCATCTAGAAGTAGTATATTACATCTCTCTCAGGTACGTACTATAGTCATGATGTAGTCGTCGTTTTTTGTGTATTCTTACCGGGACATGAATTCCGACTCGTGGTACTCGATTCCAAAATGCTTTTTGATCTGCAACATTACATATCCTCAAAATCATATACCTTAAGTACAATTGCATACATCGTACGACATATACTGTACCTACCTCTTGGAATTGCGCCTCGACGTGGTCACTCGCGACCACGTAACACGCAAACGCCGCGCGTTGCTGTGCAAGTTTCCGGTCCCGAGTCAACACGATGCGACCGTCCCCTGTCGCGAGCGCCAGCATGTCGTGTTTGTTTGCATTCACGGAGATATCCCAATGCAAAATGTCCACGCCCGTCATCCGCAGCCACTTGGCCACTCGGCCGAGCATGGAATCGGCTAGAAACTTGGGCGACGACGATTCGATTGGTCCGGTTTTTGTGTCGGAAGCACTACTATTAATAGTCAGCACTGCCACTTGGGCGTGCGGCGCCAGCCTCAACAGCGTCGACAGAGAGCATTTCAAGACCGTGTTCGGGCCTCCACCGCCCAATACCAACGGTACACCATGGGGCAGTTGTCTAGAGGCTTGTTTGATAAGACTCACATGTGCATAGAACGATAACTATAACTACAGTCCGTACGAGTCGACCCAAATGCACGTGTCGGGGGCCTTGTGCGCGATGGGGGGGACTGTGCCTGGGGCATACCCAAACACTTGAACGCATTCTTGCGGCGTTGCAAACCGAACCTTGCGCCTCGACACACCAGCAGCTTTGGCCACACAAGCCAAGTCTAGTCGATGGCCCTGATGCAGCACGGCGACATGGGGGGCGGCTACATCATGAGGATATGTTGATGAGAAGGGTGATTATTGCAAGCCGACAGGAGGAAGGATGTCGTACAGTTGACCATCAAGCACAAGCTGTTGCCCACGACTTGAAGTTCACTCTCGGTAGCAGCAGCAGCATTGTCATCAAATTCGTCGGCACTCGACACTACTTGGACGTCCACTGCATTTGGATGGGCTTGAAGAAATGCCACCACGGGGTTCACATGATCCTCGTCCTATCGCGGGTATATATATATATATATATATATATTTAATTATTGCAACAGCCAGCTTTCGACAGGTATTGTATTATATACAGGATATATATATGCTTACCGATGGATGCGAGTTCATTACTCGTTGCAGACGAAGTTGCCGGTACTGTCGAGCGTATTGAATTGCATCCTTGTCGTCGATGATGTCGAGGGATAGCGACGTCAAGCGTTGCATGAACGAAGACTCCATGTTCACGAGCAACTGTGCCATTTGCACGAGGCAATATGCATCCAATGCTGCATACCTAGCCATGTTCATGTCAGGCAAGTAATTTATAAGCTACAGTCGATCGCACTGGAGCTGAAGGGGATGCAATGGTCGGAGTTCCCATTTCGATAACTGGTGTCTCTAATATTTGTGTGAGAACGTGTGATAAGTATTTTTAATATTTTTTGAGAATTGTTGTACCTTGTCCAGCGGTTTTCCCAGTAGAAATCTTGTTGCATCGGCCAAGCTCTTTCCAGAATACGTCGGAGCTACGTGGCGCAAAACAGTGTCTACCTAGGCAATACTACCTTGAGACAGTGTGATTCGAATATTATTCATAAATGGCAGGGCATGATATATTGAATATATATATAAATTTTGATGGATGTGATACTTCGACGTGGCCATGCACGGCTTGAAAGCACGGGAGTTTATCTGGAAACGACTGGTGCAGCACTACATATATACACCGTCAACTTTATATTATGAGCAATTTAGTACCTTTTAAATCCGTGGCAAAGCCAAACCCAATCTTGACGTACGATGGGTTCGTGAACAGCCGGTGTAAACACTCAAAACACATTGTAGATGCCTACAAGTATACACGAGTATATGTAGCGTTGTGATCTTTGCTATCGATTGCTTTGGCTTTTGTATATAAGGTCTAGTATACCTCCAAAGCAATGACGTCAACGATGAACACTTTGGAGCCGACAGCGATCTGCAATATACTCGCCATGGCCATCTCGGTTTTATCAAACACTGCCTTCCACTCGACGTCCACGCCGACCCAGCAACGCACGTCACGGCTCAAGACTTCTATAAATCATAACACAACAAGTAAGCGAATATGTATGATATATAACATTGTCGAGTATTTCCGTCCAATTTCCCATTTCTTGATGGTTCGTTTCACCGGGCCGAGACATCTGATTGGCTAATATCCGAGATTGGATTGTAGCCAATCAGGGGCAATGAATCATTCGGATTGACCAATCCGAGAGATTGGTTTGGTCGGCTTGATGAACGAGGTCTGGAAACATGCATACACCAAATCGCCCATACTTTATATTTTCGATACAAAACTTACCCTTGAAATACATTTCCATTGTGTGCACGGTCGAGTCCGTGTCGCAAAAGACGATTTCAATCGACTTGGGCAGGTTCAAGTAGATGGAGCGTGGCTTCTAATGAGCGTGTATTCCTTTAGCATATTCAAACCAACTCGATATTTCTACAGCAAGTTTACCACTGTACGGTCAAGTCGTGGGCCGACATCAGTTAAGTCAAACCTGCGTCAAGTTAACCACGTACGTGTGAAGTATATCATCCTAGAAACCTGTCGCGAAGGTCGTTTGCGAGCTCGTACTCGCCAGCCGCGGCCATTTTATGATATAAATCAACCTACGTTGCAAACATGACAACACATCCAACATATTTTTAAAAGATTATTTGCACACACCTGAAGCACCGTGTTGTTGCCGACAAAGTTGGTCGCGATGGCCCACTTGCGCTGGCCACACAATTTGTCCAACGCTTCCCTTTGAAAGACACTGTCTAACAGCAGCCTCGTGGTTGATATCGTTTCATTCATCGAAAATATGACTACCAATGTTTGGAAACTCGTCTTGGAGATTGTATTGATGCACATATCGATGTGCCTAGCGAATAATATTTCTCTGTAAATATTAACATGGAAGGAGTAGTTGATCCTGTACAGGATGGAATGTACCCGCTTGAGCTCTTGTTGCTGGGTAGATAACGTCACCAACGACATAGTCAAGTGCCGAAACGTAGGGCCATCCAATGCGGGATGGATGATCTTTAATAGTTGCTCTGCCATGGGCCAAGACTTCGTAGCCACGAACGCCTCGAGCATGTCCATATGAGGCCACGGCATCCAAGTGAAGTGCTCGACGCATTTCAACACGGACACATAGGCGCCTGCAACCACAAGCTTCTTGGCGTACACCATGACCACCGCCAGCCCAATGTGATCGATTTGAAACAGGGCTAGCGTCTTCACGACCACCTTGGGGCTCTACATATTCACTACTTAGTTGGGATAGGACATAAGAGGGTTGATACCACGCCACTATCGGTGGACAACGCTGCCTCGACCACGACTGCAACTTCCGCTCGAATTGCGGGAGGCAGCACCGTGGACGCCCAGTCGGTAGGCAAGACGCCCGAGCTAGTGAGATCGCTCAACGCCATCAAGACCAAGTACGCGAGGGGTGTCGTCGCATCCGACCACACGCAAAGCAACGTCGCTGTCAACGTTGCAGCGCATCGAGGAACGTCTGTCGAAGCGCGTACCATGCAAACCAGGTCGCGCTTACACCTTGCAAAGTCACGGCATTGGGCAAACGTGTCTCGAAGCACTGATGTACACGCCATGGCATCGCCAGCCATCAGGAGAGCATGAAACCCTGAAACCCCCAACACGTCCACGCCGTTCATCATCGTGCGTGTCCAAGATGATGATGGTTCGAATCGTTGCCGATCCGATGGATGGCTTTCATTGGATAAATCAATTTGTGATTTTAGCCAATCCACAATGGACTTAATACTGACAGTTACAGTACAGTACATGTGTAACGGCGCGCACAACAGTGGCGCTTCGGCGGGGGTGCGACCTGACTCGAGCCTTTCCCGTGCATCCCAAGCAATGCAAGATGCTCAAACCCACTGACTTGTTCAACCTCGCTGCGGGCGACTTCACGCCTTGGCGACTTGGTAGGCGTCGCCTGTCCCTGCAACTCATTCCATCGGCATACTCCTGCATATAAGCATGTAGAAACCTGTCGTTGATGCCGCTGGCTCCTCGTGGGGACGCCACTACCTCGTAGGACCACTCATGAACCAAGGATGCATGATTCGCCAGTTACTGAAAGTTCTGTTGCGTGCAGGGATCAGCCATTGTTGACTTCGCCACATGATACTCCAGTCCCGCATCTCCTGCCACAGGAGCCATTGTCGTCACACCACCAAACGATGCAGCTCACACAACTCTTCCAGTACGCCGTCCACTCTATACTTAGGTGGATATGACCACAAATCGACGCTGGAAATCATATCCAGTCAACGCCCTTGGCAATACATTTAACCACGTGCCATTGCAAGGCGGCAGCATCCACGTTGTGCCTCTGCTTCGCTCCTTGTCTCGGACACTAACGACCTAAGTTAGACGACCTACCTAACTTTAGTCGAGTAGAGAAGGCGCACGACGTTAGCTATGGCGTCATGACGCCCCAGTCAACTAGATCACGCTACACTGCTCGGCATCTTGTCCATATTGGCTAGAAAACTATATTCACTCAACTACAGTAAGTACAGCATCTTTCATCATGTCGATACGATCGTACGATGTCGTAAACTCGGGCAAGTGTAACGTACGACTTTGCAAGATGTGGGACACTGTGCGATATGTGCGACACTGTACTACAGATCCAAACAATTTCTCACTACTATACATTATTGGAATCCCTCGTACAAGTCGAGAGGTCAGAGCGCAGGCGCCGACTCCCGAGGTTGCACATGCAGCCAAATGCCATGTTCTGGCTTTTGAACCAGACCGGCCACGACGGGACGCACGGGTGGCGCGTCCGTCGGCAATGAAAAGCGGCACCGACGCAGCACCACGGCCAGCACAATCACCGCCTCCATCATGGCGAAGCGCATGCCCACGCAATTCCGCGGCCCCGCTGAGAACGCCATCATCCGAAACGCCTTGTCTTTACCATGTATCTCATCCAAGTGTCGTTCTGGGCGAAATGCGGTGGCGTCGGCGCCCCAATTCTCCTCGTACCGATGGATCCAATAGATGGGCAACATCACGTTCGTGCCTATAACGTTATATAACGTTATACAACAAACGTCTCCACATGCAATCGAATAAGTGTCCCATATGTATATTGTATATACTTCCAAAAATAAAATGCGTGTGATTTTGACCAATCAAATGTTGAATCACGCTGGAGTTCTGATTGGTTGAAAAGACTTGGTTTTCTGTAAGAGCCAATCAAATCCACACACAATTGGGATTGTAGCCAATAGCGTTGATTCAACAGAGACTGGAAATACGAACGATATACAGTTACCTTTGGGGACGTGGTGCCCGCCCACGTGCAAGTCAGCTTCGAGCGACCGCATGGTGACGAGGACGGGGGGGAAGAGGCGCACACTTTCGGTGACCACGGCCGCGCAAAACGTCAAGCGACTGACAGTGTCACAGGTGGGAGCGGTATCTGCCCCGAGCACGGCTTCAATCTCCGCCACGACTTTGTCCTGCACCTGTGGGTGTGCTGCGAGTAGGTGCAGGGTGTACGCCAGTGCAATGCTGGTTGTGTCATACCCCGCAAAGAGAAACGTGAGCAAGTTGTCGGCAAAGCTCTGGGGGGTGACACCTCCCGATGCATCTTCATTGTGGGCAGCCGCTGCTGCTGCGTCCACCATGTACTGGAGCAAGTCGTGATGGGTTTTTTTGCCTTGGGAATCATCATTCGCAGGCGGATTATGCAACCGAGATGCCACGAGGTCGTCGATCGTGCGACGTAAGATGGCCGTCTGCTGGCGGTGCATCCGGTTAGCGGCGGTGGGCAGCCAGTAAAACATGCTGGACGGATGCAGCGGTTCGTCGATGGCCCGTCGATTCATGTCATCCAAGAGGAATGTGAACGCCTCCACGACGGGGTGATTCGTGGTGTGTTGAATAGCACCAAAGGACGCGCCAAATGCAGTGGCACCTAGAAACAGTATCGCAGAGATACAAGGCATTGTTTGTGGATTGGAATGCGATACGGGATTGCAGTTGGTACCAATGATATCGAGTGTCGCAAGCTTGAGCATGGGAAACACGTCAAATTTGGAACTGGCCTGCGTCGCGAGTAAGTGGCTGGCAAACTCGTGGGCGATGGAACCCATGGCTGGCGCCATGGACGCCAGATTCTGCCACCCGAATGCTCTCGAAATCAACTTGCGATGGAGTTTCCATTCGTGGCCCATCACTTGGACCAGCGACTTGGTCCCTAGGCCCAACGACATGTATTTGGCACGTCGGTTGACAAGGGAGGGGTCGCGTACCCACGATCGCGTCCACGTACTCGTCGAAGAGCGGCACCCGTTGGCGAAAGTTGGACGCGAGCACAACCGTTCGGATGTGCTCGGCTTTGAGCACGGAAATGCACCGAGCCCCCAAGACGTAGAACTGGCACATGCCGTTGTCGTCGGCCTCGTCGAACGTGATGCGCCCCAATCCCTCGACCGAGTTGAAGAGCTCCCCAGCGCCGAAAAATATGCGGTGCAAGTGGACAGACATCTTCAACGACGGAATGAACGGCTTCACCTGCAACAACCGTCGCAGGAGGAAGACCGCCGTGGCGACGCCCACGGCTGCGATGGCAGCAACTTGAGGACTGGACATCGCGAATTGAATACTGAACACTTGACAGGTCAAGTTAATGGGTGTGATTGCGGGCATAGCTGTGGACGCGCCATGGCCGTCATACAAAACAGGATTGCGGCAACGTTCCGAGTTCTTGTTGTGCCCACAATCAAGTTTATCCGGTGTATCCGGATGTGTACACTACCGTAGTAAATTGTCATATGCATTGTGAATTCGCTACAAACTCCAAAATTCGCACGATTTGTCTAATCAATATTAAATCACTGTGGAGTTCTGATTGGTTGAATATATTCTGTAAGAGCCAATCAAATCCACTCAAAATTGGATTAGCCAATAGCGTCGATTCGTGATTCGATTCGATTCGATGGGGTCTGGAAATATCTGCATCGAATCCACAATATTATAAACAATACTTCTAGGTATGATACTAGGTATGATATTTACTGTGATTAATAATTGATGCCATTTCGAGAGGCAATTAGGGAGATTTCGCACTTCAATCCGTGTTCGCGTCAGTGAGAAAAATGACGACCACGGACATGGATTAACTGTAAATAGGGAGATTTCGGAGATGAGTATTTTGCAATAATGTTGTCTGTGGAAGAACTTGTCAAGGCTTACAGGCGTTCTCGTTTCGCGAGGCCTGCCCGTCATCGCAGACTTCTGCTCGCACTCATACCGGTCGGTCGAGACCATACAAATACACATAATCCTTCTGGCACTTTTCGTGGTTGTCGAGTATCAGGTGGAACCTGTGCGATGTCTTCTTGCCGTCAACTTCGAGTACCTGGCAAGAGAAGCCAGGAACTTTAACTCCCCTAAGGACCAAAAGCAAATTATACGCGAGCACACATCCCAAGACTTCATGACTGGTAGATGTTGGAGGAATGTTCGCTCGTGGTTGGCCTGTATCAACAGCGCCAAGTCATCTTCGCTTGTCCACCGAATTGAACCCCTCCTACTTACTTGTTCGGATAACCACTACTTGAAGTACTAGCTAGTCTTTCTTATGATTACCGTGGATTCCGTGATTGGTGCTCTTTTCACGGATTCCGCTTTAAAGTTTCATGAATTTCCGTGATTGTACTAACATGTAAATACTGAGGGTAATTATTACTGAAACGGACACGGATTACTTTGCGAAATCTCCCTATTATTTACTTTGGAGTAATTGTTTTTCGTGATTGCCAGCAATGAAATAACGATACTAGTACTGTCACAATCCAGCAATTAAATATTTCACTTTTATTTGGATACTAGTAGCTCGTAACACTCTAGTGAACATAAGTTTTCCAACTTGCTGCCAATCACGAAAAACAATTACTCCTATTATAGTAAATAATTGCCTCTCGAAATGGCAGCAATTATTAATCACAGTAAATATCGTATTGTTTACACGGCTGTCAATTGGTATATATATATATATATGTTCCCCATCCCCTGGCCTTCAATACTGTAGTACCAGTAGGTACTACTACGAGTATGTAGCTTGGCGATGGCGAACTAGTTACCATCTTAGTAATAAATACCGTCTCATATCTTCTTTTTCGTCGATATATATCCTTCATATATTATTCCTTGTCGATTCAAAATATTATCATCAACCTATACAATACACGTTTACATCCCCGCGAGCGCGCCCACGACGTCCGTCTCCAGCGGCATAAACACTTCACATTTCTTGCTCGCGTTCGCAATCGCCGCCAGGGTCTCCATGTACCGCACCGCAATCATGTACTGCGTCGCATCGACCGCAATGTCCTTGAGTGATTCCTTGACCAGCGTCAGCGCATCTCCTTCGGCGCGCGCGATGAGAAGCCGCGCTTCCGCCGCCGCCTTGGCGCGGATGATCATGCACTGCTGCTCGCCGGTGGCGAGCGCAATCTTGGCTTGGGACTCGCCCTCGGCCTCGGTTTTGACTTTTTCACGGTACCCTTCGGCGGTGACGATGGCGGCGCGACGCACGCGTTCGGCAGAAAGCTGCTGGTGCATGGCTTCTTGCACCGACCGATTCGGCGAGATCTCTAGCAACTCGACTGCAAAACAACACATAAGACGTTGCAAGATGGACATGTGTGTTATGGATACATACCGCGGTGGATGCGGATGCCCCAGTTGAAGCAAATGTGCGCGATCTTGAGTAAGATGCCACGGTTGATCTCTTCGCGGGACGCGAGCGTGTCGTCCAGCCCCATGTCCCCGATGATCGAGCGGAGCGTCGTGTGCACAAGCTTCTTCATCGCCTGGCTCAGGTCGTATACTTCGTAGCACACCTTCATGGGGTCGCAAAACTCGTAGATGACCATCGGGCGCACCGAGATCTCGACGTTGTCGCGGGTGATGATGGTTTGGACCTTGAAGTCCATGATCGTTTGCCGCGCGTCGATGCGGTAGAAGCTCTTGTCGACCAAGGCGTCGGTTTCGTGTGGCATTTGAATCTGTACAGGCGGCAGGCGGGCCCCATGAAGGTGAAGACGACGAAGCTACGACGAGGACGGCGTACATACCTTGAGGCGGCGCCATGTGATCGTCTTGACGTTGTCTAGGAACGGAATCAAAAAGTGCAATCCCGGGCCAAGCTACACACATTGGTGAGAACGAGATGGCCGCGGTGGTGGGGACGCGTTGGTACCTTGGCATGGAACCGACCCCATCGTTCGACAATCACAGCTTCCTTGTGATGGACAATGATGACGTTTCCGATCAGCAGGATGACGAAGCGCAGCAGCGGCAGGCCCAGCAGAACTCCCAGCACAATCGCCAAGATCCCGTCGTTGTCCATCGTCGATGCCAGGAAGATAATGCGTGTCTTGGTCGCACTCGGCTGCTCCCTGGCTCCTGGAAGAAATGGAAAGACCGGATATTATCCGGATATTTCCAGAGTGCATGTCTATTAACTGTTGAATTTTGGTGCTGACCATTTCCTGTGCAATTTTATACTACGAAGTTCGGTTTCTTTGTCAATAAAAACACGTTTTAGTTCGGCTAAACTTAAAACGTAGGGATTAGTCGACACATCCTCTACTGCCGACAACATTTATCTACGGCGATGATTTCGGGTCTTTCGAACATGCGCACGCCAGTGCAGGACGTGCCATAGGGTCTTTGTACCAACATTTATACCACGTAACTACACAATAGCTCGATTTCCGTCGCCAGCTCTCCGAATAGGCATGATTTGATTTGACACCAGCGTGAAAAAACGCGTAGATCACTACGTTTAAACAACGAAACCTCCAACAATACGTACAAAATCACCGTGAAAACTAATACTTCTCTCGATCTTGTTGACTACGCAGTGATCAGGTGGTGTGACCATTCCTACATCCATTAATGGCGGCGCGTTTCTCCTTGATGGGCGAGCGGCGGGAGCGCCGCGGCAACTCCGTGGACACTGCCGTCGAAGAATTGAACCGTCAACTGGTAACCGAACCTCATGTCGAGCCCATTCATGTCTTCTATGGCCCGCGCTCCGATACAGACACCGCCGAGGACAAACCCGTGCTGCACACGGAGCGCAAAATCCACAAGACGCGGGTGACGGTGTGGATGGAATCAGAGCCAAAAGAAGAGAATCACTCGGTAGAGGCCTCGGGCGCGTCGGCGCCGTTCGCGCGTCGGGGCTCGTTCAACTCTCGGGTGCAAGCCGCGGGCAAGTACTGGGGCGCCAAGGTACTCCAGGCCGTGGGGAAGGGCAAGGAACATGACCTGCCCGTCCACCCCGACTCGTTCTGCGATGGCTGCGGCATGGATCCCATCATCGGGTCCATGTTCACGTGCTCCAGTTGCGCCAACTACCACCTGTGCTCGATGTGCTACCGCAACGGCATCCACGGGTTTGAAACGTCCAAGCTGTTGCAAAAGGTCAAGAGTGACTACCAGGTTGAGAACACGGTCGAGCAGTGCAAGCACCGCGTGCCGGAGGAGGTCTTCTCGGATCTATTGCACCACGTATGCCATGGCCAAGTCGATAAGTTCAAGTTCCTGGCCAACTGGATTTGCGGCGTCGTCAACGGACACTCCCTCGCGCAGCTGGCCGTGCGCGGCATCGAGATCCCGCACCTGCATCCGTCCACCCGCGCCCGGTTCGTGTCGCTCCTCATGCCCGCGCTTACGGAACGCCAAGACATGGAAGTGTCGATGGAGTGGTTTGTTCCGGTAAAAACACATTCACTCTCCCCATCGACTTTGATTTTTTCAAGGTTTTATGTGTGTTTTTTATAGTTTTTTATTGTTTCTTCGAAAAAATATCTAATTTGTTCATTCCATTCGTACTGAATTTTGTGTGTAAACAAACATTCACACGAATAATACTATCTGATTCGATGTTGAACGGTTGAAGCGAGAATTTGATTGGCCGCTTGAATAGTGTTGTGGGGTTTGATTGGTCAATCGATTGTCCACCGATGTGGTGCTGGTCATATTGGGCTTTTCACTCAAATTTGGATATTTGCGCTGATTGATTCCCCAAATCGGTCGGGTTTTTGTACTGGATGATGGTGTTGTCCTTTTACCCAAAACTTGGTTGACTTTTGTGCTGATTCGCCAAATCTACCGATTCATATTTTGTTCTGACTTTTGTATGTACAAATCGTCCAGTAGCACATTAATTTCAGTCACACACTAATTCGGTGTTGAATTGGTCGAAGAGTGAATTTGATTGGCCACTTGATTCGAGTTCTGGCTTTTGATTGGTCGGTCGATTGTCTGTCGATTTGGTTGGGCTCATTGAGCACCCATATCTACAAAGGCGAATCGATTTGACAATATCCAATGTCACCTCTAACAGTATATCATGTGGATCGTAGCCGACGGAACCAGATCGCCAAACGCTTCGCATTTGGGTGTGCACGGACAAAGAGACCAAGTCGCCATTCGCCCCCAAGAAACCGCCGGGGGCCCCCGCGAGTCCGAGTGTGGTCCTCACGCCGACCACGGCGGCGGCTACGCGGCTCGCGCCGGAGCACCCGACGGACATGGGTGGCATGCTGTCTCCGCCGCTGATGTCTCCTGCAAACCCCGACTTGTCCCCCGTCAAAGCCAAACAAACTCCAGCCTTGACGACCTCTGTGCAGGTCGAACTCAGTCCTAGCCCCAGTCGGCTGTCGACAGTGTCGAATGTTTCGTCTACCCCCAACAGCCCTGGCCAGTCGAATAAGTCGGAGCTCCGCCACTCGGAAAGCATGGACGGGCCGTGTACGCCGCGGTTTTCCCAACACAATGATGTGGTGACGACATATGAAGATGTGGACGTCGAGCTAGACGAGACGAGTTTGCAGCCGTTGTCACCTCTGGTTGTGACGACAAAGGTAATGACTATGGAAGACAATGAGATTCACACACCACACCCGGTGGGCAGCGCTCACCATAGCTTTTAATGTTGATCAATGCACACCCTGACCTGGTATATACGAATAGAGTTATACTAGTTTAACAGCAAAACTATAGACAACTTGGTTATGTTAGAGGACGGTACAGAGTGAGCAAAGTTGTTCCTGCTTGTGCCCGACTATACCGTATACCTACCACCGACCTTATGGGTGATTATGATCACTTTGCGGACACCGTTCGGACAATTTCAGTCGGACATACTTGGCATTTGTATTGGACTTAAGCGGAACATATTTTGTCCGAATGAAAGTGTCCGAACGGAATATGCTCGGACATACTTGGGTATTGTATACACCCGCATAAGAACGATCAGCTTTTCAGTAGCGAGCGACGACAGAGCATCCGCCCACAAAATTGCGCGCACCGCAGCGTAGCGGAGGTCGTGTGTATAATTTGTGCAGGCGGTGCCTTGGCGAGGAGTGAGCCCCAATCGTGCACTTCACCGAATGTCCAATCGATTCCTCTTGTCGGGAAAAGCGGCAGGTAGGCCGCAGGCCGTGCCGCTACCCAGACAAGGCCTGTGGTACAACTATTCGCATTTAATGCGTAAATTCGGTTAAGTGCGTGTCCGAAGCACATATAAATATTTGTCCGAGTCGTTATGGTATGGACCTGTACATACCCCCGAAAATGTCCGAAAAATCTGATCGAAATAGATAGTACTACTAGCTAGTACTACGTAGTACTATTACGTACTACTACAGTACTAGTGTGCTTTGCAACTCAATGGGCAAAATCGACTCCAAATGTGCCGATTTACACGGACATTGCAACATACATAAAGCGGGGTCATGCAGCCGATTAGTGGGTTTTCGGCCGAAATGAATTGGTGCCCCCAGATTTATCACTTTCGTCCCCGACTTGCCGTTTCAAACTGCAATTCTGGGCTATGGCTTGGTATTCTGTTTACTGTTAGGGGAAGTTCCAAGTACTTTTCAGAAATAGCATGGGCCAATCAAAATCGATTTACCTCTTTCTTTTTTTCACTATTTAGAAAAAAGACGTCAAGGACCTCGTTTTTTACTTTTGGTATAGGAGAATCAATTAAAGAACCGCCTGAGCCAATCAAATCACGTTATGTCAAATTTCTGCCAATCCAAACGTTTGGCCCCTCCGCATTAGGCAAACCACATATATATTAATTGTTGTATAGTTTAGTGTGTACAAGATTAAATTGGATCAAATGGAATCGAATGCAATAACTCGCAAATCCAAATTTGGGTGAAATGCATAATAAAAAAGTAGGAAAAGAACCTCCTGAGCCAATCAAATCACGTCATGTCGAATTTCTGCCAATCTAAACGTTTGACTCAGCGGAATCCCTCCACATTGGGCAAAACCACATATATACATGTACTAGTAGTACTGTACTGTACGTGTACAGTCTGTAATCGTTGTGTGTACAAGCTTACAGTTAAATAGGATCAAATAGATTCGAAAAAGCTATTTGGCGAAATAACTCGCAAGACCAAATTTGGGTGAAATGCACAATACGTATTATTAATAATAACGTTAGTACAACTCAATATAAAAGGTGGCCGACTACTTTTATTCTCATGGGTTCGGATTGGCCATTTCTATTTTCTTCGACTTGTTTGATTGGCTAGAATGATAATTTTTGACCAATACAAAGCGATTTGGGTACAGCATCCACAAGGAATGACATGTACGCTGGTGGACACAAAAGTTGGACACAACTCGTCGTCATTCGCTGTCGGTGACGAACTCTGTGCGAGAAATAGGTGTGAACCCATGGAGAAACTCCGTGTACCGCGCGGCGAGCCAGTCTGTGGATGCGTCCAGGGCAGCGGCGAACTTGCTTAGCAACGCCTGGTTGTGGGTACACGGGTCCACGTACGCGCGAAGGAGGGGCCCTTTGCCCACAGCCAGCAGCTGGGCGTAGACGTCTCCGACACGGTAGTACCGGATCACGCGCTGCCGATCGAGGACAATCGACGAGGACGCGAGCTTGTAGAACGTAGTCGTGTCCTGGGGAAGGTATATGGCGGGTACGAGGGTCGCATAGAGTCTGTCGATGCCAAACTCGCCGTGATTGGGTACGAAGTTGATGATGTCGTCAGACGCGAGCGGGACCTACGAGGATATGAGAGTGACGGAGGTGGTGTGGTGGAGGTTGAAGTGTACGGTGAAGGTTTCGAGGAAGAGCTTCATGAGGGCCGTGGGCGATGTCTTCTTGAGCTTTGTGGAGACCGTGGGAATACCCGTGCGTTTTGTGCGAGACGTGGACGGTGGTTGGGCGGCGGGATCGTCCGACTCGCCACGGGACGTGATAAGAGGTGTGGACGACGAAGTATACGATGGAGGACAAGATGCTGTATGTGCAACGTGGTTGGCGGTGTGGAGGATGTGGTTGTCGTCGGGGATTGCGCCAAAGCGAACGACGACGTACTCTGCAGGCGGCAAGCAAGCGGCAATTGGCACCAGCTCTCCATGCACGTCCTTGAGAAGAATGGACGACGTCGATGGCAGGCCGAGCTGGATGCATGCTGCCTTCTCGACCATGGCGTCGGATGTCCCATCGTACCACACTACCCGCGTCCTCGTCTGGTTGTAGACCACCGTGATCGATCGCTTCATGGGAACGCAAGGAAACTCGCAAACATGATGGGAGGGTTCTTTTAATCCAAAATAGATAAAGAACTATCCACACGATAATTCTTAAAATCTGATGTTGGTCTTTTTACAGAATGTAGGTCAATTTTCTGTAAATCAAAGAGAAAAAGATTGTGTGCACTTTTTTTAGATTGCAACATGACGACGGAAGCAACGACGCTCTACGAGAATGGAAAGGTGTGGCAGTGGATGCCACGCACGGGACGACCTAGCGAGCCGCGCGACTTTGCCGGCTACGCATCCTGGTTCACCACGTCGGGCGAGACGATCTCTGCTGTTGGTCACGGCGCCGTGCCGCAGGACGTCCGAGCGCTCGCGGCGACGGTCGTGGACTTACAAGGTCACGCAGTCCTGCCCGGTCTGCAGGATTCGCACATCCACCTGTATCACATGGGAGAAGTCGCGCATTATGTTGATCTTCGAGGCACGTCGTCGTTTGACGACTTGTCGGCGCGCGTGATGGCGCATGCCGCAAAGTTCCCCCTCGCGGACTGGTTAGTCGGATTCGGGTGGGAGCAGGACAAGCTCTCGAGTTGCGCTCGGTACGTCGTCATGTTCCCCCTTCCTCAACCTTGCTAGTGTTGACGAGTAGCATGCAGGTACCCATCCCGCGCCGATCTGGACGCCATTCCAGTGTCTCGACCAATCTACCTGTGGCGAACATGCTTCCATATTGCCGTCGTCAACTCGAAAGCATTGGCGGTTGCTGGCTTGGACATCTCTCCTCACCCTGCATGGACTCAACCGGTCGCGGGCGGCGTCGTGGACGTTGATGGAGACGGCGTCCCTACTGGCATCCTTCGCGAATCCGTAACCCCCGTCCATCTTCCACTTGCATGAAACTCAACGAATATATTATCTCCTTGTATAATAAATAGGCAGTAAACCTCGTGCAAAAGTACATTGTCGAAACGTCGGACGGTACCATATATATATATATATATATATATATATATATATATATATATATATAGGAGCAATTTCTCGCTCCTTTTCTATCATAATCAACGTTGCTTGTTAGCCATTCGAACGCAGTACCTTCAAATCGGCCTGCAAACGTGCTTGGAATTTGGCCTCACAGGTATACCAAGTACACGTTTCTTTGTATACTATAGGGTGGTCGTGTATCTAAACCCACATATTCATAATGCAAATATAGATTACTAGTATAGATTATACAAATATTCCCTGTTATACATATAAACCCTATTCAAACAATATATACGTATATCACCTAAATATTCAAACGACTTTTACGCCCCATAAATATCATCCAAAATGTCCCAGTACTGTGTCTAAACCCTACAATGTGCATATATATATATATATATATATACAATACCATAATTGTAGTACATAGAATTTAATACTAGTAACATGATAGTATTGTATAATAGAAATATTCCCTGTAATGGTGCTGCACCCCATGTGCACAAATTACAATATATATATATATATATCATCCAAAACGTCCCTGTATGTCTTGTATCACAACCGTATGCACAATATATATATATATTTCGAATACCATATATTCCCTGTAGCCGTGCACACAAACGACGCGCACTGTTTACCGCTGTACCGTGCCCTTCAAGCGTCAGGCCAGTTGCCATTGCGAGTGTATTTGACCCCCGACCAGCATGAAGTGGACCCACGTCGCAGCCGCCGCGACGTGCTGGGGCCGCCTTTCCAGGACAACTTGCTCACCGTCGACCGCGTCAAGTTGTTTGGCGACGGCAGTCTTGGGGCTGTACGTGTGAATAATATATATATATATATATATATATCACGTTTTCATGATATATCATTTTTGATTGGATGGATAGGAGACGGCGGCGTTACGGCAACCATATCGTGACTCGACCAACAAGGGAGTGTTGGTACACTCGGACGCTGACTTAGCCGATCGAATTCAAATCGCGACCGACGCCGGCTACCGCGTCGAGATTCACGCGATTGGTATTGACTTTTGTATTGATTCTTTGCCAAATGTATGATTGTTTGTCCTGACTGTTGTATGTCAAAATGGTATAAATATATGTATTCTTTATCTATTATTTTTTACCTTTATGGTCCAGTGTCACACTAATTTCAATCACACACTAATTCAATGTTGAATTGGTCGAAATCGACTTTGATTGGCCACTTGATGTTCGTGTGGTGGGTTTTGATTGGTCGTATATATATATATATATATATATATATATATATATATATATATATATATATATATATATATATATATATATCGATTGTCGTCTGTCGATTTGGTTCTTCTGCTCATTCGATTGAGCACCCAAACTCACTCCAATTTCAAATAATCGACTTGACATTATAAATACAAATAATATATGTCTTTTGTGTTAGCTACGTAGCCTCTACAACTTTTGATCCGAACTAAGTCGTAAGCAACTAAGTGTGGTGGATGATGGGGTGGGTAGGCGACGGGGCCGCCGCCCAAGTGCTGGCAGCGATGGCAACGGTGGAGGGCGGCATCGATAGGCCCCTTCTGACGCACTGCCAGATCCTCGGGCCCGATTTACTAGAGAAAATGGCGGCGCTAAACGTCGTGGCCAACATCCAGCCGTCGTTTGTCGTTACGGACGCCGCGTTTGCCGCCAAGCGATTGCCGCCGGCGTTGCTGCCGTACTCGTACTGCTGGTACATCCATCCTCTGTGACAAGCATGATAGTAGCTACTAATTGCTAGACTAGCTCTATATTGTCCATTTTTACCCAAAATGTGTAGACTGTTATGCGGATTCTCTTGCCAAATCTATCGACCGATTGTTTGTACTGAATTTTGTATGGAAAAAAGTGTCGTGTGGTGAATTGGTATCACATTGATTTGATTCTGATGCTTGTTGATAGTTTCCTGCAATCTGATTGGCTAAATATGATTTTCTTCTGTCCATTTCTTTGGTTGTGTCAATTTATTCTCCATGTCGCTCGAAAATACAAGAAACACAACAATACTTGTGGTGAAAACCTTGGGTCGGTCTACCATTGGTTGAAATTTAGATTATGAAGCAATTTCATTGGCTAGTCGATTGTCTGCGTTTGGGCTGCCGCTATTCGATTGGACTACCCACTCCAACTTATAAATCGTTGCAAGATAGCAGTTGTCCCATGGAACTATTTATATTCAATATTTGTATATGGTATACATTGTGTGGTATAAATTCGTGTTTTGCGTCGATTTCTCAAATAAAGTGCCAAATTTGGGTGAAAAGGACAATATGTATCGTAGACTTTTCGATGTGCGAGATAGATTGTGGGTATATACGATAGAATAGGGCTGGTTGATTTGTGTGACTTATTGAAATGTAGGCAAAAGATGACTCGAGCGGGCGTCGTGTGTGCAGGGGGGAGTGACGCCCCCATAGAAACGAGCAATCCATTCCAAGGCATGTATGATGCCATGCATCGCCGCGCGCCGCTGGACGACCCCCGCGAGTGCTTTGCGTTTCCTCATGCTCTGCAGCTGTACACACTCAACGGTATGATCGTCGTGGTTGGTCCTGATATATTTTGGATATAATACAATTTTGGTGCTGATACAGGATCTTATCAATCTATCGTTGCCTTTAGTAACTTTATCGCTTCGTTTTGGCTGGAGAGAGAAAGGTGTGCTGGGATGACTGAAATCACACTAATATACTGTATTATTAGTCATTTCATGCAGCAATCTCCGTGTCGCTCCAGAGGAGACTAAGCACTACCATAATATATATCCCCGATTGATATTAATTTCAATACATTAATACTAGTATACTATCGTCGACTTGAACCCTACAGAATATAGAATGGATTGACTTGTTTGTGTGATTACTATAACATCCAAAATGTTTGATCAATACAATACTATATGCCCCGATTAATTTCAATATTTTAATGTACTAGTCGACTACGGAATATCGGATGGCTTGACTTTTTGAGTAATATTTTCATATTTTCATATTTTTTCTAAACGGTGGTTCGAAGGGGCGTATGCGGCAAAAGAAGAAGCGCGACTGGGGGAAGTCGCGCCCGGCTTCCAAGCCGACTTTGTCGTGGTTAAGTACGATCTCGTAGAGAGCGACGCGAGCAAGTTGCTGGCAAACGACCTCCTCCAGCGTGTATTTGTGCAAGGCATCGAGCGATACAATGCCTCCACAAGGCCCCCCGTCTCGTCCCCCCTGGCTATCCAGGCCAGTGGCCTCCCCGGCAAAAACGGCCAAATTCGCATTTGCCGGTGCTGCCGCGTGTAAAATGAATAGAATGATCATGGAGCAAACATGGGCTTCATATACTTGGTGGATACTAGTAGTAGTACATAGCTCATTGGACTTTTATAGTCATTTACTGCTATAAGTCTTTATTTCGTGGAATAATCAATCTCACACGTGTACTAAACACTAGTTACTGTACTTGCATCAAGAAGCTTGAGACATACGAGTAGAGTCCAAACTGTACAGACTGGTTGCATGTGCTCGGCTGGTGATTTGTACTTCAATGTAGGATTTACTACCTTTTGGGTAGTGTAGTTAGTACGTACTAGTACATACTAGTAGTTAGATTACTGCTGGAAGGGCGAGGTCGTGGTGTGGTTATCCGCGTAGTTTTCAACGAAACGTGACCAAACACAAAGTCCAAATGCATGATCCATGTGCCAAATAGTACTACTATTATAGTTACCGGTACTCACTACCTCAAAGTATATACACTACAGTATGCAGTACATACAGTACTAGGGTTAGCGTTAGTGTATGCTTCAAATCCCACCCTATTTCCGCAGAAACGAAACCAAGTCGACAGTATTACATCAACCATGTAGTATTGTCCTTTTAACCAATATGTGGACTTTTGTGCTGATTCTTTGCCAAATCTATCGATCGATTCTTTGTACTGCCTGAGATCGTTCAGTATCACACTAATTTCAATCACACACTAGTTCGAAGTTAAATTCTTCAAAGAGTGGATTTGATTGGCTAGTTGATTCATGTTTTGTGTTTTGATTGGTCGATCGATTCTCTGCCGATTTGGTGCTGTGCGTATTCGATTGAGGGAGCTCCCCACTCCAATTTCGAATCGAATAAACAATAGACACATAGTATCTATCTACTGCATCTCTACAATATCGAATAGTACTACTCGAGATGGTTGTGGCTTACTTAGCATTGCGGGCGGGGGGGGACGTACTCCTCAAACGTGATGGGTTGGGTGGGGTCGCATGCGTCGGCGCCCTTGGTGGGGGTGCAGTCGATTTGGGTGCCCGGGACCGCGCCCTCGGTTTGAAAGTCCTGGGCTTTGCTCCAGCACGTTCGGATGGCCAGGAACCGGTTGGTCTTTTCCTTGTCGTACTTGGAGCACAGCACCGCGACCTTGCGCTTGTACAAGCCCCCGATTTGGTCCAAAGTGGCGGTGGCCTTGTCGGTGGCCCACTTGGCGATCTGGTCCGACGGCACTTTGACTCGGGCGGTCACATCGAGCGTCGACTCAAAGTAGTCCTTGGCGGCGCGGTCCCAGTCATCATCGTACGCGCGGTAGCAGATGCCATGCTTCTGAAACTCGTGGTTGTATGCATGGCAGAGCCCTTCGGCTGACGTGTTCACGGCAGGGTCAACCCAGAGCTTGTCCATGTCGGCAAACAACTGGGGGTACTTGGTTGCAAACGTGTCGGCGTCGAACGGTTGGTTGGTTGTGGTGTCGGATACGTTGCAGCAGCCGGGGAATCCCCCGTTGTAGTTGGGCCACAACCCGTGGACGTACAGAGCACTGGGAGTGCGGCTCACTTCGCACTGGATGCCCAGTGGGTACGGGTTGACGTTTTGGTGCGTGATGGTGGAGTCGTTGCCGTTGAGCAGGTCGCGGCAGTACTGGGGGGCAAATATCTGGTCGAAAAGGAGGTAGTCGTAGTCGCCTGGGCGTTGCTTCTTACTCATGCATGCCGTATCCGACGTGTTGAAACACCTGGGGGCGGCCTTGGAGTGCTTGCAAATGTCGACGCATTCCTTCTTGGCAGGCAAAACCCACCCGCCGAGGTAGTCGATGGCGGTGACGGACGCCAGCGCGGCGGCCGCGATGATGACGAGGCTACTCTTGAGGGCCATCTCGACGCTAGTGCTGCTGCTGTTGTGCAGGGCAAGTTGGAGAATGCAACGGCAACACAAAGAGAAGGCGGCGACGCATGATGGGGGGTTTTGCTCAGACGTGAGTAATACGTCGAGAGTCTCAAGGTAATTTGGTCGCTGCTCTATGGGACCTATAGTACGTGGTACATATACTGTACTTGTGTGGCTCTGGTCAAGCCATGATCGATGCAACTTTTAGTACTGTCAGCCGTCGCGTGAGTACATACATGTAGTTGCGCCTGTAGGTACTGTACACCAATGGCCGTAGAAACGAACGGTACCACGGGTACAGTTGGGGACCGGCGGCTTGTATGCAATGGATGTCATATCCAACAGTCAATCATATGGCAGGCCCGAACTGTACTCGGAGAATATGGCAATTGAGTGTCAGGGAACGCTGTAAAAAGGGCTTGGAATAGGCGTGTACATGTGCACTGCTCTGGAAGGGGACAGTCTGGGGCATTTTGCACATCTGCTTGCCACGGGATGACACGTCACGGACGACTTTGCAGGGCATCAATAATACTGCCACTTCGACTGGTTGATGTCAACATCCAAGTGGGTTCGATTACTCACGCCTACTTTTGCCAAGTGATGACTTATACCGGAGTTATTAAATAATAACCTTACAGTACCTTATGTATGGACATGCACAACCAAGAGGGGACGACGGCCAAGTTGTGGACATTCCACGACGACATGAGACACCGTTTCGCCAGCTTGTGCTTGAATTTGATAAGCTTAGCGTCGTGTGGATGGACTGGGAATGGTATAACGTTATCGCATGCCCCTTGCGCACACATACCGGTATCAGGTGGAGATTTTTGCGGAGAGATAGTTCTCACCCACGACGCTGCATATATCATCCAGCACCAAATTGTCACAGGGGGAAAACTAAACTTTTAACCAATAGATGCACTCCATTTCTGAGGGATTGCGTACTATTGGCTGTATTATTATTATGTGCACATCCTATTGGCTGTATTTTTATTCGACCCAAAATGTCTATTTTTAGTACCATACAAATCCTAGATGTTACGATTCCGAGAAATAGCGTTTCACAGACGATTTCTGCAAAGCAATATTAAAATTCACAACTCTCAGAGTTGTATGTTAATTTGTGCAATTCGTCGCTCAAAAAACAGATCTTGAATTATATTTTCCAGACATGTTATCTATGTTTCTCAATTCTTCTTACTTATTGTATGAGATGGAATTGAAAATTTGCGTCAAAAAGTGTCCGAGAATTCGATGCGTTACCTACTTACTACTCTGGTCCGGTATATTTGTCCGCTTGTTTTGACTTCATTTAAGTATACCGAGCATGTCCAAAACATCTTATCTTTTGTATCGAACTCGAAAATATCATAACAACCAACATAAATTTAATGAATTTTTATTATACTTCGAGGTCCACTTACTGGTGGGAATTCACCAGTTCCTCCAGTTGAGAC